AATATAGAAACATGCAAATAAATGCAAATGCCAAATGCAAACACTTTCAAATTTGGCAAATTGCATGACAAAATGCAGTGCGGCAAAATGTTTTGTGGCAACCGACACATTTGCGCTTCAACTCTAAGCTTAAAAGCCAAAACGATTGTAAACTATATTGCAGGCAAAAAAATAAAGATAGGCAAACTTTCTAAACAGCAATTTATAAGAAACTTAAGTTTCCTTTATTATGCCCAAGCTTATATTCACAATATCATCTGCATCATCCTCTCATAATTACAAAAATATTCTTTTATACGTGTTTCACAAAAGCAGTAAGTCCCTTGTGTGAGCCTTTGGATATTCAATGCATGGCGCACAAAAGTATGCTACGTTTTAGTAGCACTTGCTTGAAGCCTAGGTGAATCTAGTGTTGTGAAACGTTAAAAGCGCTATCGATAGTATCGATATTGCGCCTTCAATGTTTCATAATCGTTTGTTCTTGTTGATAATTAAATTATTATTTAATTAATAATGAAAATACATATAATAAATAATAAATGATTTCTAAAATTTCTCTGCAAAGTTGTGAACTTCTTTGTTAGTTGTCTAACACTAATTATGCGTGCTGTTGGTGAATTAATGTTGGCTTTTATCTTAAGCGAAATTTAATGTTACTAGGCTTAAAGCTCTTAAGTGCTTTTTAAGCTATTTATACTCATTTTACGTGCTGAATTGTATTCCATTTAGCTATCCGTCTCTGATTTTAAAACTTAGCTATGCCATATTCAGCGTGTGTCATTGGGGCTTGAGAATTTTTGCAATTATTATGCAACAAGTAGCGTCAAGGGAAATGCCGAGCAGCTTAAAACATGTATGTTCCTACTGTGTGGGAAATCGCTGTGGTAGAATGCAAAATTAGAATAACCAGAGCAGTGCAAAACCGCAAACAAACATGGGTGTAACTAAAAGGCGACGAGCAAGAGACAGACCTGGTTTTTGGTGAGGCAGGGTGACTGACGATGACTGGTGCATGCCAACACCATTGTTGCACATGCCGCACAGCGTTGACTCTCCTTGGACGCATTTTCCACTTTAAAGCCAAAAAGGCAAACACAGCCGCAAGCAGAGGTTTCTCTTGCCGTGGCAAGCGAATAACGTGTGTGTGTGTGGCACGGCTACGTGACTGTGTTGCCAATCCGCCTCGCTAACCGCCCGCCGCCGTTTTGGGCGTGCTAAGCGCCGTTGATGGCCAAGACCAAAATGCAATGTTGCAATTTGCCAAATTGAAAACACGAAAATGAAAGCGGGCCGACGAGCCAACGGACTTGACATGACGCAGGGCTACAAAGTAGCCGCCAAGTTAATTTACGCCAAAGTGTATGCAACTCACCGCCCCTTGCCGCCACGCCCGCTGCCGTAACACGCACGTCAATTGCCCGTAATGGGCACTTCCGCTTGCAAAATGGCGCTTGCACTTGGCAACAACAATGTGGCCGCTAATTCTCTAATTTTCAACGGACAGCAGCCGTTGTGAGCATGAACAACTACAAAGCACACATAGGCTCCTCGCACCCAGCCCCCGCACCATCCTCTTGTGGCTATCTATTTATGGACGCATGCTGCGGCAGGTGCCCCCAGGTTGCACAGCATTTGCATGCCAACTATAAGCGAGACTGCTGTCGCAGTCGACATGTTTGCGTCGCGTTTTAATTAAAAATAACTGCAAAAAAACATTTTTTAATTAACGGAAATATGAGCAACACGCCGTGCGGCCTGTTGCCGTGGCATGAGTATTATTTGCCTTGTTGCAATTTGCCATTGAAATGTGTGAGTAAATATTTAAGAGCTTTACTTGCGAGTGCACATATTTAACTAAGAGGGCGTGAGGGCGAGAGTGTGTGTGTATAAGCGTGTGTGTGCACAGCACATTCCTGGCCAATATCTAAAAGACCAAATACAACAGCCCCGATTTGTGTGGCTTTGTTTGCCCCGTCTAACCACATTGGTATGCTTCGATGCGTGCCACATCCCGTTGCTCGTTTCCGGTCAACCCGACAAACTTCATCAGCTGGCTTTGGTTGCTGTTCTTGCTGTTTTTGTTGTTGTTGCTGTTCTGTGTGTGCTCCTCGCATAATTTACCCATATTTGTGGCACACTAATTGCGGCACATCACTTTGTCCGCCGCTGCATTGCAATTTGCCCACGTCGAGCGTCAGTTCCTAAGTTATGCAAATTAGCTGCGATGTTTTGTTGACTGACACAGACCAATGGCAGACATTGGACAGTGGAAGGGTACAAGGGATAGTCCACGTCCTGTAGGAGCGAGCAAGCTGAACGCATCCTAAACACATTTGCATAGCCTTCGCCTATTTACGCAAATTCACCATCATTTCAGTGCCCGCCCGAGTATAAACAATATCTTCCATTACGCTGTGAGATGCAATTTGTTCTATAATTTAAGCCAGAATGGTACAAATTTATACTTTTGTCAATATTTAAAAGTGAAACAAGAAGAATTCTTGTACCTCAGGTAGATTTGAACGGGAAAAACTTGTCTGACCTGATCTGATTTGACTTGTCCGCCAGGTAAATTTATAATTTATTTTTAAATGTCTACAAATATATTTTCTTAACATGCACAGTCGACTAAATGTTGTTTATATACTTCATGCATATAATGATTAAATTGATCATATGAAAATTGACATTAAATTTTGTTTAAAATGCTATTTTAAGTCAAATTCGGAAGTGTTCCAATTTTGATTGAAAAACCATGCGATTTTCTTTTGACTTCGAAATTAATCAAGTCAAAGCTTCAAGTCCTTATAAGTAGCTTTGTTAAACCTAAAACTTGAATCTCAATTTCTAAAAGTAAAAAAAAAATATAGAATACGATGCAACTTCTTTTCGTATATATAAAATAAAACAAGAAAAATCTATGAAATTGGTATTGCGTCCATGCTCTACTGCATTTACATATTGCTATGTTTAAGGCCAACTATAAAAACAAGCGCGTACAGCAATTTAAAAGAACTTCACAATTTTTAGTAGTTTATGGTACAAGTTTATTGCAATTTTCTGGTTACTCAGCTATACAATACGCCTCAGCGCTCATGGGCCATAAAACGAATTTGTTAACCAAAACCAAAAGCGCATTAAAATCTTAATCTTTAGTGTTGACATTAAATTTACAAGCACAATGGTCGAAAAGAGAGCGGAATGTGAACCGGTATGGCCACGCCCCAATGCCACAAGCAGTAACATAGCCGCCCATAAAACGCTGGCGAGAACAAAGCAATTTCACACGCTCATGAATGGCAAAGTGATGCACACACACACACACACACACACAAACACGTAGGGACGAATACACCCGAAGAGTCCCTTATAGAGCAGAGTTCAAGAATTTATTACCCAATTTGAAATTGCAAACGAGTGCGTGATAAACCTCGAGGTAGTTGTTGCTGTCTGCTTTGTCGTTTTTGTTTGCATATACCCTATTTTAGAACCCAACAGCGAATGCCAGACATAGCCAAATTGCACTTAGCATAGAGCTCAGAGCTACATACAGGGTATGTTTGAGTCTAGCAACAGCCAGCCAACGTCAACTTTTTGTTTGCTGTTGTGTGCTTTAATACAAAACAACGTGGTTTATGACAAACGGAAAGAACAGCAACAAGAGCGAAAGAGGATGCAAATGCAAGTCAATCCACTGGTCAAGGTGGACGTCAGGTTCGTGTGCAAACAGAATGTGAAAATGGAAATGAGCGTACAAAGCGCAAACACAGCCAATACATACACAAATCCACACCTACACACACGCAGAGGAAAAGGCAATCTCTCTTGGCAAATGGTGAAAACACTAAAAATCAATGTGTACAGCTGGCAGCAGATGGAGATCCATAAAGATAGAACGGCGACTTCTTGCCCCCAACTTTAGTTAAACTTGAAGTCAAGGTAAAGCGGCAAGTGCAGCGCACAAGAGTTGCGCACGTGGCAAGTGCCGCAAGCCTCTCTATGCAAATGCCAAAAGCCATGCTAATGCAAATGCGCATAAATGGCAACTGCCAACTGCTACGTCCCAGCCCTTACCCGCTGCAATTCCAAAAGCGTGCCACAACGCTCCCCGTTTTCATTTAGAAATATACATATATATATATATATACTTTTTTTGTCTGCTGTGAAATGTAGCCGCGCTTTAAGTGGCTATTCGACAGTCGCCGGCATTCCCCGCGCCTCCTTTCCATTTGCATACATATGAAGTTGCCCGACTTCCTCTTATTGCCCCCTGACGCTCCAGTCAGTCCCTTTGCCTAAAATGCACCTTGTGGTCATAAATTTTGCTTTTTGTTCCATTGAAGCATTTAAATAAATTTTCATTTCGAATTCGCCAGCTTTTCGAGATATTTGCGATTGAAATAAACAAATTTATTACCCACAAATAAATTCTATTTAATATATATTTCTTGTGGATTTTGCTTGTGCATTCGAAATTCATGTGTTTGTGCAAAAACAATTGACATTTTTAGAATTGCTGAGCTCAAGCAAAAGGAAACTTAATAATTGATTGTGGCCAGAACGGCAAGAGTTTATTGCAAAACCCAAAATCTAGAATAAATGCTGTTCAATGGGCATCGAAAGTAAGTCAAATAGTTTAAAGTGTGCCCAATACACATATTGTTTTATTGGAAAAATTTTAAATAATAAATAAAATTATTATTTGTTTACCTTACATTCATTTGCCTACCCGCAAGCTCTGTAGTGTTTTATTATTCGATTTACATTGTGGGGGAAATTATTTGATACAATGTGCTGTAAAGCAATTAAAGCTTTAACAACAAAAATTACAAATATAAAATATATTACTTTAGCCTGAATTTAGATTAGGCTAATTGAAAACTTCTGAAATAGCAGACATCAGAGCTTTACCTTACATATTTCTGTTTGTTCTATTCGGCTAGCTATTCAATCTGCCATGAAATACTAACTTTTTATTCAATGCTTCTCTGTTTTTGCAGGCTGAATAAATCCTAAATTAAATCAAGTTGACAGCACGTGGGGGGCAAATCAAACAGAAATGAACTGTTGAATGGCTGTCGAGGATTAGATAGAAGCTCCCAGCCCATTTGCGCGTGGATATTTAAGGCCGCCAATATTAAAAAAAGGCATCAGGGCCGGAAGCGAACGTGCATGAACTAAAATCTAGAGGCTAAAGTAACAGACACAACCACAGCCACAGGCTCAGCTACAAGGGCTGAAGATGACAACACACAACCATTTGACGGAAACAGTTTGAGTCGCACTCATCAATTACCCCTTCCAGCGGGCACCTGCGCTGCTTCGCTGCCCATTAAAGTCGGAGCTAACCAAACAGCAGGCTGTTAGGCAACAGGCGATAGCAACAGGTCGTCAGAACTTTGCTAAGAGACCCAACCCCAAGCACATAAGTGGCCATCTACGTGACTTTATCAGCACACGCAGCTGGAGCCGCAGTCAAGCGCTTAACTGAAGAGCGTCGCACAAGGTGGAGGCGGCACATTAACCAGCAGATTGGGGCTGATTTACTGGATGTGTGAACAGCTAGAATAATGAGTATATGCAGCAGTCCGGCATCACAGCAAATCCGTAACCGTATCCACAAACAGTGAGCATCATGACCGATGTGTCTGCGGCAGCTGCCGGTGCCGCCGGTGGCGCCTGCGAGCGCACACGCACAACAAACTCAGAGGCGCCAGCCGAGTCTGCGTCCATAACAACGTCTACATCAGTGTCCACGAAACCACTAATCAATGGTGCCAAAAAGGCGACACAGCCCGCAACGGCAACGGCAACGGCAACAACAACAGCAGGAACAGCAACAGCAATTGCAACCACAAGCAATCAAGCCAAATTGGAGCGTCACTTGCAGAGCAACAACAATCAACATGCAGCCGCAGAAACGCCGACGTCGCCGTCGCCGTCGGCGTCGCCATCGCAGCCGTCGCAACCATCGCTGGCCAAGCCAAAGGTTTCCGCTGACAACGAATCGTGTGGACCTGCGGCCAGCGACAGTTCGAGTGCCGCATCTGGTTCCATGGCGTCCGCCAAGTGCAGCAGCAAGCAGGATGTTGACGAGGTGGCCCGCCTGTTTGAGGAGAAGCCCGAGGCATTTGAGAAATGGCTAACGGAACGTGCCCCACCTGAGGCGCTGAGTCGCCTACAGGAGTTCATTGAGAGCCGTAAGCCGCACAAACGGCCCTCGGTCACATCGGATTTGTTCCAGCAGTGGATGGCCTCGCCCGTAGTGCAGAAGGTGAGTGTTTGTTAAATATATAGCATGCTTTTTGGAGACGTCGACCGGGAGCTCCCGACTAGGGGATACCCTGAACCCTCTTCTTCCGACAGGCGATAGGTATAGAAAGAAAAATACTTGATATATATATACTATTCTAGAAGCTACATGCCAAGTTTGGTGACTCTAGCTCATATTATTTGCCGAAATTGATCAAATAACAGGATTCCGATATCGATTTGTATCGATTACTTGGAAACGGGGTAAGTTATCGACTATCGGAAACAAACTCGATCTGCGCGGGGACTAGGAGGACCTACAGCTCTGTCCGTTCGTCTGTCTGTATGTATGAACGCAAGGATTTCAGAACCTATAAGAGCTAGAGTGCCCGCACAGTACGAGTTCGTTACCGATAATCTAGAATGGTCTATACAGGTCAAGTATCTTTAATTTTAAAGCTATCGGCACCCCCCGCCTTGAACATATAGATATAAATTACATAAATAAATCACCACCCATTTAAACCACAATTTTAATGCAATTGACTTTTTTGAGAATTCACGAATTTAAGAAAATGATTTTTTATATCAACTTATATCTTATATCAAAAATTTTTATGAATACATGTACACATGTATTGTTAAAATCTATTAAAGTCATTATAATTGCGATGATTTAATTCGTTTTTTTTTTCATCGAAGACTGATTTTTTGGTATGGCTGCTAAAGCAAACGAGCTCGTAGCGTGAACTGAATTTGGTGCTGGTAGAAGAGGGTCAGGGTATCGCCTAGACCGGGAACTCCCGACTGGAGACTCTTACTTGTTTTTAAATGCGAAACTTTTATAACTAATAGTGCATTTGAAATTACTCTTGTTAGTTCTGTTCGCCATATATAAATTTAAAAATTAGAATTCGTGTGTGTTGTGCGCAGTATTTGCGTACTGCAACTTGCTTTGAAATTGAATTTCCTCGCGCTTTGCTGGGCAAATATATCAAGTTGATGTTTTTTCAACGATTTGGTTTAGTTTTGTGATCACTGATTGAAAGTTCCCTTACTTACGCATGCACAACACTTTCAATGTCTATTGTATTGAATATATTACACATACGCACGGGTGGACATTGCAAGTGAATTTCAATTAAAAACATGGATTTGACAGTTACTTCCCTTCCAGCAGCTTAGCAATTTATGCAGAAAATCACTTTGTGGATTTATAATTTGTCAACGTGAAAATGCTAGTGTCTTCGTTGTAATGATCCTTAGAAGCTGGTGACCTTGAGCGAATATTCCCATGTGGACAGAATTAACAATCTATTGCAGTTGTTCAAGCATTAAACCAAAGTGTGTTGCGGTATTCAAATTTATTCAAATTTATTGGGTTAGGTAATGTTGGCCTTTTCTGTTTTTATTTTGTAACTAGCCAACTGTGCTGCGCCTGCGGTTCCTGTTTCTATTTCTTTGGTTCCTGTTATTTGCCATCAGTGCGGCCCTCCTTCTTTGGGCAGCTTGCCGCCTAGCTCGATTCCTCCTTCTTGCGTTCCTCCGGCGCTGCTGACGCCTCATCCGCCTAATTCGGTTTCTCAGCCGGTTCGCTCTGGCCTGAGCCGCAGCCAATTGCGCAGCCGTCTGCGTGTCAGTTGATGAGCCTGATCCCGTAGATCTTGAGGGAGAACCTCCACTGCTAGGCGTTGTTGTCGCAGTGCTGCCAGTTGGTGCCGGTGTAGTTTCTGGGATGGCCGGTGTGGCTGGTGAGGCTGGTGTGGCTGGTGGGGCTGGTGTGGCTGGTGTGGGAGGCGTCGTCGGGATTGTGGCTGGACAGCTAGGGTCCGTTTGATTCTCAGTAAGTGCGCACTCATCAGCAGTTCAGGTTCCTGGCCGAAGATCACCGTTTGGACTCTCATTTCGCTGCCAACGGGGTGGTTTGAATGTCTTACTTTGGCCCCGGCAGCCCATTTTATAGCGATTTTGAATCTATAAATTGTATTGTTAGTGTATTGAAGCAGCTGTAATAACAGATGGCACATCCAAATCATGTTTAACATATTAGTTTTTGTGTCTTGTTTGTGATAGATCGGGCAATTGCATTGCAATTTCCAATATTTTAATATTAAAAGTATTTTATTATTTAATATTTAATTAGCTGTTTCTAACAACTTTTTGGTTCATTCTAACACGCGCAGCCAAATATACAAAGAATGCAAAATCTTCTCCGAAACATTCAATTGTTCTTAAGCCCAATTATTTAGACAACTTATTGGAAAGTCGCAAGAATAACAATGATACTGAAACCTGGAAAACCTGAAAGAAATACCGACTCATATCGACCTATAAGCCTTTTACCCTCCATCTCCAAAGTCTTCGAAAGACTTATTGCTCCGCGGCTACTTGATCACTTAAACCAACATAAAACGATTCCCGAACATCAATTTGGGTTCCGCGCTGGTCATAGCACAATAGAACAAGTGCATCGGGTAACTGATCACATTCTTCAAGCGTTTGATAAAGGCGAATATTGCAACGGAGTATTTCTGGATATACAACAGGCATTCGACCGTGTTTGGCATCCAGGATTACTAGCCAAAATTAAGCAAGCCACCCCAGCTAATATGTTTAAACTACTAAAATCATTTATGGAAAATAGAAAGTTCCTGGTACAAGTCCAGGATAGTCAATCGCCAATCAACCCAATACTTGCTGGAGTCCCACAAGGCAGCGTTCTCGCTCCTATTCTATATACAATATTTTCAGCCGACATCCCACAAATTAATAATTCTGGCATGTTATTGGCTTCTTACGCCGATGATGTCTGTGTTTTAAACTCAAACACATCAGAAAGTGAAGCAACAACAGGTATTCAGCGATACCTCGATGAATTTGGTAATTGGGCCAAGAAGTGGAACATGGGAATTAACACCAGCAAATCGATTAATGTCTGTTTCACATTACGACGTAAACGAACTCCACCAGTTTCTCTCAACATGCAACCAATTCCACAAGCATCCTCGGCCAGATATCTGGGCATCACCCTCGACCAACGACTTACTTATCGAGAACATTTTGAAAAAGCTGCGACAATCTGTTATCTGAAGAGAGACAAACTTCACTGGATGTTGAACCGAAGAAGTAAGCTTCCATTACGGTGCAAAACTCAAATCTACCAGCAAATCATTGCGCCAACTTGGAGATATGGCATCCAGATTTGGGGCACAGCTGCCAAATCAAACAGAAGACGTTTCCAGATAATCCAAAATAAAGCTTTACGCCTAATAACTGGCTGCAGCTGGTATGTCAGTAATCTGACCCTTCACAGAGATCTGAATATTACGCTAATAGAAGATCAGATCTCTTTCTACTCCAGTCGCTATAACGAAAGACTGATAAACCACCAAAACAGATCTGCACAAGCCCTTGTCGGATCTATTCCTATAAATAGACTGAAGAAAAGACACTTCGGTCTTCTACAAAACAATTAAAAACAATTCTTAAGAAGACAGCTTAGCCTTAACCTTATGTAGAGCAGGAGAAAATAAACTAAGAAACAAACATTGTTAAATGCAAATTTTGAAGCATGTACATGTTTAAAAAACTCATATTATCTGTTAATATAATAAAGATTTTCATAATAAAAAAAAAAAAAAAAAAAAAAAAATTCTAACACGCGCAGCCAAATATACAAAGAACGCAAAATCTTCTCCGAAACATTCAATTGTTCTTAAGCCCAATTATTTAGACAACTTATTGGAAATATAAACATTGTATTTATTATTAAATTTACTTTCAATTGGTTCTTTCTTCCATAATTTAATTCGCTAAACCCAAAAAAATCGTACTTGATTTTAATCTAATTGTTTACATATATGTGGTGTGCTTATACCCTGTGCACACTATAAAAATTGGTATGTAGGCTTAGGTAAAGTATACCCACTTATGGATAAGTCCACCATTCCTCCCAAAATCATCTTTAAGGCTAGAGCCAAGCTATTTATTACATATATTGATATCATATTCAACAAACATAGAAGTTATACAAAAAAAATTTAGAATTCTTAGAGGGCTATATTTTATGATTTAAAGAATTCAATGCTTCAATCAAAGTATTAAATTATCTGTGGTCTGCGGGATTGAAGAATTGGTCAAAATTTATTCAAGTTTTTCGTTATTCCTTTTAATGTATTGCCAGTCTTTGTCTGAATTTAAAGATAAGGCTTATCATATGTTAGAATTTGAGGAGTCCGAATGCGGAGGAGATTGCGGAGGTTTCACCCAATCGATCTCTCAGATCAGTTTATATAAACTACCTTCCCTTGTAAATTTTCATTTTAGACTTAACAGTAGAATAAGTTTATGGTATATATTCATATAAATTTAATTTAAGTTGTTCCCATAATAACAGTAAAACTGAAATAAAGCAAACAAAATGTAAAACAAAACATCTTTTCTAGAGTAGAAAAGCTGATAACTAAAAAACTAGTAAAAAAATGTTCTCGCGTTCAACCAGAAGCAATTTTTCGAGGCATAATTTCAGGCGTGACACTTGTTAGATATGGGCATGCCCTAATGCAAGCATTTAGATTATTCTCAGCTGAAAGAAGATTTTAGATCAGGTTAAACTTAATAGTAGAGAAATATTTAAGGTTTGTGTAGATAAATTAAAATGCCCTAACTTATGCTTTAGTTAAGATAAACCAAATTATCTAACTGTGAGAGATACAATTTGATAACCATTATCAGCTAGTTCGATGCAAATATTTATATTTAGTGATAAAATAATGATAAACTATTTCTTATTAATATAAAAAAAATTAGCGTTGCCCGGTTGATAAATGTGTCAATTGATTTCAAAAAAGAGAAACAACAATTCTGGATAAAACTTATGACTGGCCGGTTCTCGATTCTTCAATCGACATAGAACAACGAACATTCAACCGACAATCGAATATGGAATAATTTTTCATTATTTGATAAAATTGCATTTGGATTTCTGTTAAAATGATTTTGATTAGTTCCGTGTGTAGTAAT